GGGGGGGGGGGGGGGGGGGGGGGGGGGGGGGGGGGGGGGGGGCGGACACGCACACGCACCGTCTGCTGGTGTCGGTTCGGTCCGGACTGTTCGGGTCGCTGCAGACTCGCGGGATTTTGCTTTTATGCAACACGCCGCGCGCACGCCCCTCCCGCTCTGAAGCCCAGCCGCGTGCAGCGCCGCTCAGCCTCACGCGCGTCTTAACGGGGGCTCGTGCTCCGCCTCACACCTGCTGGATCTGATCGATCAGAGAGTCCGCGTGCGCGCCGTGGGACGGAACCTCAGCTTGTGTACATTCTGTTCCAGCACGAGGGGGCGTGTCATCCGCGTTCACGTCCAGTGACGTTTATTTCACGCGCCCGGGAAGCGCCTCCCGTCTCCGCGTGGGTTCCCGTCGCGATGGCTGCCGCGGGCTTCTGTGGACCCTGGTTCCTGTTCCGCTGCGACACGCAGCTGGTCGGAGTGCACGCGAAGCAGAGCAGGTGGGGGTCCGGCACCGTGGGGGTCCGGTACCGTGGGGGTCCGGCACCGTGGGGGTCCGGCACCGTGGGGGTCCGGCACCGTGGGGGTCCGGTACCGTGGGGGTCCGGCACCGTGGGGGTCCGGCACCGTGGGGGTCCGGCACCGTGGGGGTCTGTGGCCACGCGGAGTCCTTCCGGTCCTAGTCAGGCGGAGAAAGCCTCCATCTCAGGGTGGAGGGAAGAGCTCTGGGGGCTCGTCCCGCTCCGTTCAGGGTGTTTCACACCGGCAGCCACCGGCCACTGGCAGCCACTGGTCACCGGCAGCCACTGGTCACTGGCAGCCACTGGCCACCGGTCACTGGCGGCCACCGGCAGCCACCGGCCACCGGCAGCCACCGGTCACCGGCAGCCACTGGCCACCAGTAGCCACCGGTCACTGGCGGCCACTGGTCACCGGCAGCCACCGGCCACTGGCAGCCACTGGTCACCGGCAGCCACCGGCCACTGGCAGCCACTGGTCACCGGCAGCCACTGGTCACTGGCAGCCACTGGCCACCGGTCACTGGCGGCCACCGGCAGCCACCGGCCTCCAGCAGCCACCGGCCACCGGTCACCGGCAGCCACTGGCCACCGGTAGCCACCGGTCACTGGCGGCCACCGGCAGCCACCGGCCTCCAGCAGCCACCGGCCACCGGCAGCCACCGGTCACCGGCGGCTACCGGCCACCAGCCGTGGCTCCGGCTCTCATCCGGCCCTCTGTCCCTCGCAGGGATCCGTTGGTGTTCGACTGCGGCGGGGCGGGGCTTAGGCCGGCCGGGCCTCCGGCGGACAGCAGCAGGTACACCGGCTCCGGCGTCCCGAGGGGACGCGGAGAGCCGCCTGACCAGCGGAGCCCCGCTGTGTGCTTAGGGACGGCGGCCCCCCGGAGGAGGCGGGCAGCGACCGGGTCCTGGCCTTCGCGGCCTCCGCGTCCGGGAGGCTGCTGGCGCTGACGGACGACTGCAAAAGGCTGGCCCTGTTCGCCCGCGAGCCCACCTGTTCGCCCGCGTGGCGCCGCCTCAGCGTCAGGTAGGGCCGCCGGTTCCTCTGAGGGCGCGGCGGCGGGGTGCCGTGCCTCCAACGCCTGCGTGCGTGCGTGCGTCCACCAGGTGGGTGGCCAGGCGGTGCACGGCGCTGGCGTTCAGCCGGGCGGAGGACGAGCTGCTGGCGGCGGACAAGTCCGGGGACGTGTACTCCTTCTCGGTGGTGGAGGCCCAGAGGGAGGGCCAGCTGAGGATGGGGCACCTGTCCATGCTGCTGGCCCTGGTGAGCAGCTCTGGGGGGGCTTTGCCCCCCATCCTGGAGGTTTGGAACTGTAGCCACAGGCTCCACATTCAAAGCTCATAAAGCATGTGGTCCCACGGAAACCGGACCCGCTTTGGGCTCAGGTCCAGGTCTCCAAGCCTGATGAAGTCCTGAGGACCAGTCTGTGTTCAGGATGGGACAACGTGGGACCGCCCATCTCTGAAGGCCATCCATGATCCAAATGGGATCATGGATGCCCCCCCCCCATCAGACTAACGCTGCTGTCCGTAGGCCCTGTCTCCGGATGACCGGTACATCATCACCGCTGACCGTGATGAGAAGATCAGAGTGAGCCGGCACCGATCCCCCCACTGCATCCAGTCCTTCTGCCTGGGGCACCAGCAGTGAGTACCCCCCCCCCCCCCCCCCCCC